TCAACATTGTCTGATCAGCCTTCAGCAAAATAAGTGGGTTTTTACCCTCTGGTTACCCCCCAAAGACGCAAAGTGTTATGGGGATGTGAAAGTAGAGACTCTATCCACATGCTTGGGCTCCCTGTGTTGAAAGGTCTTGGGTTCCCTGTGGACTTTTTCCCAGTGCAGGATAGTTTAGTGACATGTGGAGGTCGTTTGGTGTTTTATCGAGCGATTTTTCGTCCTTTTTTCGCTCTCGTTCATCAATATTGAACAGATTTTCGTCATCTTATGGTATAATGAGTAATACTGAGGTCAATCACGATATACAGGAAGGTTATTTCTTTATTGATTTGGGAAAAGGCGAGTGAAGTTTATCGGATTGATTTTTGCGTTATGTAACTTTATTTATTTCACTTTATAATAAGTTTATTTAATAGGACTCCATGCTGTCCAATTAAGAAATACTTGGACGAGGAAAATTCCGAGGACTGACAAAATTAGATGAGGCCATAGGCCGAGTCCAATTTGGCAGTCGGAGGAATTTTTCGAGTCTAATTATTTCTTGATTGGGGATATAGCTGCCTAATTAATCCCATATCAACAAGACCAGTTCAATTAATGATRGTAATTGAACTGAGTGGAGTGCAATTTGGACCAAAATCATATGAGTGATTACAAAATTGCACGACCGTGTAGCGGGAGTGCAATTTGTTAATCACAAGTATGATTTTGGTCCAAAATTGCAGGACACGAAGTTCAATTACCACTTAATCATATCCTTTTTGAAATCATACACAAGAAAAAGACACAATAAAGAGTGCAGAATAATCAATATAATGTAGAAGAAGAAGTAAATCAATCAGTTTTTTCCTGGTATAGAATAAACGATTTATCAGCAAATCATTAAATATTCATAAATAATGCTAATCATTCTCTTCTCTGATTGGCTGAATATAAGAATTCTGTTCTGTGATTGGTTCTTTCAAAAAGATGCGATTAAGAGCTCCTAAGGATGCGATTAAGAGCTCAAAAGGATGCGATTAAGAGCTCCTAAGGATGCGATTTGGGAATTAATCACACTCCTTTGAACCAATCAGATTGCAGGATTTGGTAGTGATTACAAGAATGATAATCCTTTTGCATTAGATACCTAGTATTAGATTTACCCCTATTTATTCTTTTTGCCTGTTTCATTTTTTAAAGTTTTATTTTAAGTTACATTCTATATCTATCTTTTTTTCCATGAAATATATTTTATTATTTATATAAATTATCTAATTTAGCTTGTATACTTTGTAATTAGTTTTTATAATTAGAAGGCCAATTAGAAGGCCAATCTACGATAAATTGCATACCTTCGTTAAATAAAGTTATTATTATTATTATTATTATTATTAGAGTGCACACACTATAAATCTGTGAACATTAATTAGTACTAATTAGTACTATTTCATACAGATTCCTTTGTTTTCTATTGTTTATTTATCACCATTTAGTACTAAAAGTTAGTATTTGTTTCACGGGTTTAGTGCGTGCACTCTAATATTATTATTATTATTATTATTATTATTATTATTGATAAGGCTACATCAATGTAACTGTTCTTGACAGATAAAGCAGTTCTTGAATATGAAAAAGAAGGCAAAAACACATTGAATATGTGGCATACAGAAGTACCTGTCAGTCACAGAGGACAAGGACTTGCGGCACATCTAGCAAAGGTACTGCATTATTAATTCTATTAATTAATATATATACAGTAATATGAATACAAGCCACTGGATCTGTATGGGTATTACAAACACAAGCCAGAGTGCTTTATTACTGAGCACTTGGTTGGCCCGCATGGTGGGGAATTTGACCTTGGCAATAAAACCTTGGCATAGTTAGCTGAACATACTCCTTGAAAATTCATTTTTGGGTCCTTGTCTACTCCTTGAATAGTCCTTGAATTTTAAGTCGTTACCTCGGCACGAACCCTGTAATCCACTAATTTTCCAAAGTGCCTTTAGAATAAGATACAATAATATTAAAATCAAGCAAAATAAAGCATAAATAAATAAGTATTAACCAATATTAGCATGTTTAATATCTAATAAGCTATACTATTAGTTAATAATGACAACATTTAACCCATGAAATAAAAAAAAACATGTCAGTCAGCATGTATTAGTCAAGAGAAAAAGATGGAATTAGGGCCTACTAATGTGTAGTCTGTTAGTATAATTTTAGATTTGAATAGTTTCTCACGCTGTGATTGCATGGTCAATCCACCAGTGATTCTGAGACAATAAGCAGATTAAGATTCCCGTTTTTCCTTCCCGCAAACGGCAAACGTGACCATGTTTTCATCGTTTCCCTACGTTTTACTTAACCTTTTGCAAACCTTCCCAACAAAGACACATATTCTTATTTTTATCTACTACTTGGAGATTTTTACGATTCCTTTTCACTAATTTTAAAGAATTTTTTAATGGTCAACTGACGTTTCACGTTTGCCGTAAATGAGAAACTCAACCTCTCTAATAATCGTACTGCTTGAGCGGTGATAATGAGGATTCCCAAAATTTGTCAAATGAAATCAGAAGTTAGTAACACAATCCTGCATTTTTATTCTGAATTTCATGTTTTCTTTAATATTCAAGGCTAACATCATACCACATGTAAAAAATATTCCCCTCAGGCTCAGTGAATATGGGGAAGGTTTACCTCACCACTCAAAGACTTAATTGTTAATTTGCTCTTTCAGTCAGGTTTAGTGACTTTCCTCTATAGTAACATCTGTATTGTTCATGTCTTTAGGCTGCATTGGATCATGCCGTAGAGAACAATCTACGAGTAAAGCCAACATGTAGTTATATACAGAAATACCTTAAAGATAACCCACTTCCGCAGTACACTGAGAGAGTTTTACCAGCCGAACAGTGAACTCTTCCGTAGAGGATGATATAACTTACCTTAATTTCACTTGGTCAGCTGATTGTAATCTCTGCAACAATTCACCTTTTTAATTTTTAACTTGTTTCCAAGAGACTTTTTTTTCTTTGGTCATCCCTTGTCAGGCACCAATCAATGTAATATAATAATAATAATAAAGAGTATTTTACATAGCGTCAATATCGCCTGGCTTCAACAACGCTTTACAATATATTGATCATAAGAAAAGAAATTTGGATAAAACTGAAAAGTAGGTTTATATTTGAAGCTTCAATCAAATTTATTAAAAATATTAGTTTAAATTGATCATTAAACTTATCAAGAACTGCAATAATATACATTTCATTCCTATTTATATTTCATTTCAAAATGTTACATTTTATACTACAGTACATATTGCATATAAAATTTCAATATAAACTTTATGTATACAGATCAAAAACAGTCATCAAGGAAATTAAGAATTTAATATTAAAAACATATTTGATAAGATGCAAACAACTATCTTTTTTTTWAAAAAAAAACAATCCCTGCCAGTACTCATTTTTATAAATAGGCATCCTTAAAGAGCATTGTTTTTATATGGGTTTTAAAGGAAGAAAGAGAATCTCACTGTCTTATTCCTGGAGATGATGAATTCCAGAGATGAGGGGCAGCAAAAGAAAAGGTTCTCAGACCATAGGTTTTAAGATTGTAGTTCTTTTTAACAAGAGTGCTAGACAAAGATGACCTCAGAGAGTGAGAAGGGATATAATGTAATGTAGCCTTTCTTGCATTCACTTCTAATTCACTTGTTCAGGTCAGCTAACTTTAATCTCTCCAAGGAACAGGGTATCTGTTTTCAAGTCCTTCTCAAGATATTTCTCATATTATTATATATTTTTTACATTTTCATTCTTCTTTAACCTTTTTCATCTTTCATACAAAATTTGGAAAACTGTACAGTATTTGTTTCCTTTTAAGGTGCTGACACACGGTGCAACATTGCACGCAACATTGCAAGCAACAAATTTGAATCGGGGTGACACACATTGCAACAAAATCACGCAATATCGCTTGTATCAGCCTGCTATGTTGAAATGTTTGGTCAGCAATTATAGATTTGGTGCAAGCTGATTGGCTGGAAATTTCAAAATGTTGTAGGTAATGTTGCAGCCATGTTCACATGATGAAATTTGTTGTGCACAATGTTGTAAGAGTAGAGAGTGATTCAACTTCAGATTTGTTGAATGCAACGTTGCGTGCAACAAGTTTGGGGTAGACACGCTGCAGCAGTCCTGTTGCGTGCAATGTTGCATGTAATGTTGCACCGTGTGTCAGCACCTTTACAGTTGTATGTGCTAAGAAAACATCCTTTATTCTCAAGAGAATGCCACATACTCTGAAATGGATAAACCTGTGAGTGATTAGAACCAAGAAAAATTCCAAAATAGCTAGTTTATTTGATAATTTTCCTTCTATTAAATAATAAATAAATATCATTTTTTATAAATGCAAAATTTATGATATAATTCAACATTACTGATTTGTGCTTCTGGATTTGATGTAAAAAATTAAAGTTTTTGGCATGATTCACATAATCTAATAGTAAAAATCTAATCTAATGAAATAATTAAATTATTGATAGTAATGAGGGTGCCAAAGGATTATTTTATTATTTTCTCTCGATTATATTATCAAAAAGCTGTGGTGTGCGTGTCATATCTTGCGACATTGTGTGTGATGCGTGATAGGCCAATAACAGCTTCTCTGACACAAGATTTCCTTTAAAAATTTAGCGTGAAGCGTGTTGGGAACTCCTCCTTTCCCAGCCTGTAGTACCTTGGCAAACGAGTCTTCAGTTGTTAACGATGCATTTATATGTTGCTTTCCACTTCTGTCCATTTTTCTTTTTTCCGAACTCAGAAGCTTCAGAAGCAAATATTTAATAGATCTTATTCGTGGTGTGACAATGTTTTCCCAATTCAGCGTGACGAACCTCCAGGGGATTCATTTTCTTTTGTTTTTACTCTTCGAAAAATTCATGAGTGTCCCAAAGGATACGAAAGGAATAACGACGATATCCCGACGAATTGCAAAACAATAGCTCTTCATTCCCCCAGAGGTTTGTCACGCTGAATTGTGGGAAAACATTGTCACGCCATGAAGGTCTATTATAGACACCTTGCATGTGACGTCAAAGCAGCTCAATTTGGAGAACAGAACAAAATAATTTCAATCTCCTGAGAATTGGGAACCTATTGTTATGTCCTCCAAATTGAGCTGCATTCCGATGTACTGCAAAGGGTCTGTTAAAGCAACATTCCATATATCTTCAGTTGCTTTTTTATTGCAATGCATTGGTGCATTGCCTACCCATTTCAGACCATGGGTCATACACCTATAGGAAATTAGATTCTTCGTTTCGTTTGAGTTGTATCCATATTCATGTGCCTTCTCATGCGCAACCATTAAACAAAAAAATTATACTCTAGCAAATGACACGTGGTCTAAAAAGTTATACTTCAAAAAGAGGTTTTGCAGCACCATTTGTCAAGGCCCATAATACAGCTTGGGCTACCTGTGATTAGATGGCAGAAAAATAAAAAATCTCTTTGCTCTCGGTCGATGCTTATGTAACAAGATTGTATTGTTCCTGCCATCTAACATGGCTCCCTTCACTTGGTGGTGCAAAATCTCTATTCAAACTGTTACCTGCTTCACCAATGTTTCACAAATTTTCTACTCCAGAACTGTGCTTTACTTTATTCATTTATTTATTCAATAACAATGATATTAACATATATAAATATATATATTGCTTTTATAAAATATTTTTAGACGAGTTTGAGCGAAAGTGTCTCTGTCCTCTAATATAAACACGGTAGCCAAGCAATCGCGCGCGGTTTTATAATAAAGGATTCATTCGTTCACTATTCATTYGTTTATTCGTCCTAATTCCTTTGCTGCTCTTTCTCTGAGCCCCTTTCGATTCAATTTCCCAGTTCTCGTCAGAGGAAAATCTTCACAAAACACGAAATAATGCGGTTTAGGGACCAAACCGTTTGTTGTCTTATTAAACTTTCCTTTACACCACTCTTGGAATTTGGCGCGAAGGGYTTCTTGGTTGTCATGGTGACCCGCTTTCAATATAATACAGGCGCATATTTTCTGGTAAAGCCTTTCATCAGGAACGCCAACAGCGATGACTTTATCAACATGTGGGTGTTTCTCTAAAACTCCTTCAATCTCAATCGGTTGGATGGATTCACAAGCACATTTAATTACATTATCCATTCTACCATGGAGTTTCAGCCTTCCTTCTGGAGTGATGATTGCCAAGTCCTTGGTGTGGTGCCATCCTAGGGACACGTCTCTTGGGGAATCAGGTTGTTTTGGAGCTTTCATTACATCTTCAGCCATGAAAGATACCCAGACAGCTCGTAGACACAGCTCTCCTAAGAAAGAAACAATGCATGCATTTTTACTTTGCATCTTTACAACTAATCAAAATATGGCGACCAATTTGAATAACTATTGTTCTAGACTGACTAGCGACTGACTGTTTTCACGTGTATAAGAGGCTAGTCAGTCGCTAGTCGGTGCAGCCCCCCCTTTGCCCTTCCCTGGATCCGCCCCTGAACTAGTCATTACCTGGTTTATTAAATGGTACAATACAACCCTCTTCATCGATGATCTTTGCTTCAAATCCAGGACAGATTTCCATCAGGCTGTGATCCTTAGAATCTAGAGAATCTTTGGTGATCTCTTGTGAAGCTATTAGACTGGTCTCAGTAGATCCATATATATTACGTATAATCAAATGGGGATAGAGAGAGAAGATTTTCTTGATGAATGAGACAGAAGTAGGTTGGCCTCCGACCATGCAGTACTTGAGCTTACTAAGATCTATGGAACGGACCTCCTGGCTTGATACCATGTCCTGTAGAAAGTACAACAACAGGATGGCATGAGAGCATTTTTCTTCTTCTATAATCTTCATAATAGTAGTCGTCATGCCTCCTTTGAATGCGAGACGAGGTGGAAAGGAAACCAAGGTGGATCCGAGCAAAAGGACTACGCCAATACCGAAGCCCATCCCTGATATCCAGTCAAATGGACCATCACAGAATAAGACAGTGTCTTTGTTGACGGCGACGTTATATGCAATCGCTCGTGCTCCATTAATGAAGGCTTGGTTAGTAAACTGGATTGGTTTTGGGATCCCTGTGCTACCGGAAGTGAAGAGTACAAACGTGGGATCGTCAAATTGGACTTGTGCTTCTGCTCTTTGCACCCTTGAACGACATTCTTCATTTATCTGTGTCATGTCAACGAGCTTCTTGTAAGCGTACACCTTCGGGTATGTGAGCAAGTCATGATCAGCTGCAGAGTGACCAGCAATGACCCCTGCCTTGAGCGTTCTTTGCTGGAAAATAGCGTGCAGTTCGTGCACCGTTTCCTCTATGTTCATGGAAACACTGTAATCTATACTTGCTATAACACATGCTAGATTCTTGGTTTCAAGAATGGCGGTGTAGCCATCTTGTTCGGTGACAACAGCCAGGGCACCAATCATATTCAAAGCCATTTGAATATACACAAACTCTTCAGTGGTTGGCAGCATTAGAAGAACTCTATCGCCTCGAACAAGACCTATTTCCAGCAAAGCTGCTGCCAATGCTTCAGATCTTCTTTCGTACTCTTTGAAGGTTATGGCCACTCTGTTTTTGTTAGCGTCACGAAACACGAACGCTTCCTTGTCAGGGGATACTTGAGCATGATGGCGAAGAAGCTGGGRTGGAGTTCTGTGTTCCAAGGCTTGGTTATGAAGCTTGTGGACGTAACTCATTGTTCCTGTGCAAATCTATGAAGAAAAAATCCAAATTCAAATCAAAAAATTATAAATGAAGTTAGTTTTTAGAGTATAACTGTGTAACAGCGTGAAYGAGAAAGATGCAATAAACTTAAATGATAGATTTATCGATGTATGGAAAATAGTTTTGAACTTTTTGATATTTATTTTCTATTGAAAGTCGGTAGCTTATGAGGTCACCAGGTGTTGTGTTGGAGCCACCCCAAAAATATTATTTAAAAATGTAAAATCCCCGTAAAATCCCCCATTCTCAAGCCGTTAAGCCGTTGACCTCTTCAAACATGCCAATGATAAACTACAGTTAGGTCAAGAATGTTTGTTGGGATTACGTAACCGTAATCGTACTGTTCTAAGCGATCTAAATATATACATACATATGTGTATGTATGGATCACAACGGCTGGAGTAATGAGGAAGCTATATTGTAACTGCAAACTAGTAGGACCCATGCAGAAGAAAACCTAGATTGATTAGAATCTGTAAATTAATCAGATACAGAATAACTAGAACACAGTCGTGGTTTGCACTCAACTTAAACATGAGTTTTGAATTTTCGACCAAACTCACTCTCAATCTCAAAACTATTAGTAGAACATATCAATACTAGCTGGTCGTGATTTGCATATGGTTAAAAAATAGCAACAAAAATAATAGGAACTATTAGAATAAGTAACTTTTAGAACAGCAAACAGAATCTCTGGTCTTTTAATCTGTCAACAAACACTTTTGTGTGTTACGTAACACAGGTTTACTGCATGATGGTTTTCATGAAAAAGATGAAACGTTTGAAAAATCTATAAGTTCTTTCTTTTTTCTACATGAACTACCAAAAGCATGTTATTGGAAATTATTATAAATGTTGTTTTTGCTCTAAGTATAGCGTGTTTTGCTGTTGAAATATCTTTTCCTGTCGCAAGCTGAATGCTTATGACAATTTCTTACTTTGCTTAAGCTCACGAGTCAACTATTTTGTATGGAATAAAACTTATTTAAATAAGTGCTTGTTGAGAGTCTATACCTTCTTCGTCTTCAATACCACAAACAAAGTTTATAGCTCAAACAGCTAATCTAGAGTTACGTAAAGTTAGAAAATCCATAGATTCGGTCATCAGTGATAAAGTTATTATTATCATTGCAATCCAACAGGTTTTTGTAATATGCACTACTAAAGTTTACAACGAGTTATACTGAATTCCTCCTGAAGTAAAACTGGCGTTAACCCATACCTGAAAATATGAAAGTCCTTTTCTGTGAATATTCTACGGCACTTCTGTTGAGACCCTTCCTTACCTGGATATAATCGTTATRATGAGCTATAATATAATGGTCCTACTATAACGTATGAAATGATATATGTCAATCTCGTGTTACATATGCATGTCTTATTGGCTTATGTTTTATGATGTTAACGTACAAACATGACCAGTCATTATTTATGTCGGAGGGGGGAGGGGGTGGAGGAGAAAATGTGGGGCCCTCAAATCACACACCTATTTTAATAAACTTTGTCATCGTTAGGCGATAGTCAATAGACGATAGGCGAAAAGCAATAGGAGATAGGTCAATCTCAGATCCAAGAATACCTGGAATGACTTGTGTTTCTGCTTCTTATTCTCGTCTAGAACATGAACCGTAGTGTTGAGACTGATTCAAAGTTCTTCGTATTCAACGAAAACCATTTCGATGTCGGGATGACGTATTGCCTATCGCCTTTAACAAAGACAACGTTTTTTGAAAAATAAGTGTATACCTTAGTTGATCCGGGATGGGGCTAAATGGCCAGATGCTGACACCGAGGCTAGTAAATCAGCAGCAATGATTTGAAATATGATGCAGCACATACACAAAGGGCAGTGGACTTTGCGCTTCGAACTCAATTCAATTGCAATAGGTTAAATTTAAAACAAAAGGTTTTAAATTCTCAGGAGAATTCTTTTGTTTTGTCCTCTATATTAAGCTCCTTTGAAGTCACTTACAAGGGGTATATATTCTAGTTTCCAGTTCTCTGTTGCTCAGGTTAGCCTGGGTTTTGTACAGAATATTCATGTGTTCCAGTGAACGTCTGTGGAATAGTTAATAATAACAATAATAATAAATTTATTAATGTGTCACACCGTTCCAGCTTATTACAAAATAAACTGATTAGTCAAAGTGTTGTTATCATTGAAGTTGTGCTTTCTTTACATTCCCGTTGGTATTTGCGAATATTTAGACAGAAAGTCGTTTAACTTCAGTCTACATACAAACAGTGAGGGCCCGAACMATGATGTTCAATCTATCTCTGCGATGCGTGAAGATGATGTCCCTGAACGCGAATATGTCAGCTATAAAACAGCCTTTTAAATGGCAACCAAGAGAGACCTCTACAGTTTTTTGTAGATTACTGAGAGCAGAAAGCTGAAGTCATTGGATCGGAAAAGGATGTTAAAAAGCCATTAGAGAGTTTTAGATTTACGTTCACGGCAAACGTGAAACGTCAGTTGACCAGTAAAAAATTCTCGTTTTAAATTACTGAAAAAGAATCGCAGAAAAGTCCAAGTAGTAGAAAAACAAAAGAGTTTTTGCGCTTGGTGAGAAGGTTCGTAAAAGGTAAAGTAAAATAAAGGAAAACTATGAAAATGTGGTCACGTTTGCCGTTTGCGGGGAGAAAAAAAATCAATCTAAAACTCTCTAATATCTTATCACGGTCCGGCCCGATATGATGCTTTTACTGAAGAGGAATCATTCCTCAACTGGATCGACACCTCTCTGCTTCAGGTAATCATTGTCATAACAATAACTTATAATAGCAAAAAAAAAAATTTATATAGCATTGCCTACCAAACATCCAGTGCTTTACCAATAAGTATAAAATATTTTTTWAAAATAGGCTATATTTACTAGTGTGACGACAGAGAATTTTAGCTGAGTTAATGATTAGCTCAACCGTTCAATATTTAATTCAATTTAGTCAATAAGTCAAATTCAAGCCCAGTTGGTCATAATAGCAGGATAAAAGTTATAGTAACTTTAGGAAGTCTTTTCTTACTACAAAGAATAACGAGTTAATCCGCAGCAATAGATTGTGCATGGCTGAAACGATGCGCTAACAAATCGGTTCCGATTGTAACGATCTCACGGGAATATTCGGGTTAGTTCGCGTATTGTTTAGCCATGTGCTCATTAGCGCTAAATCTTCATTAACCTACGATCTCTTTAGAAATTAG